GAGGTGGAAGGATCGCCGGAGCCCAGCAGGTCAAGGCTGCGGTGGCTGGAAGCGGCCACTGCACTCCAGTCTGGGTGACAGAGTGAGACTCCAACTCAAAAAAATAAAATAAAATAAAAAATAAAATAATCTATTATGACAAATAATTAAGTATAAAATAAACATGTTCTCATAAAAGTAAGGAATCTGAAATTTACCTCTCATGTATTCTGAGAAAATTATTAGTGTACAGCAGTGCTCCAAGACAGACCACATGATAGGCCACAAATTAAACTCAATAAATTTTTAAAAATCTTATTACATCAGTCATCCTCTTAGACCACAGTGGAATAAAACTAGAAATTAAGTCCAAGAAAAACTCTCAAAACCAACAATACATGGCAATTAAACAATCTGCCCCTGAATGATCATTGAGTTAATGAAATCAAGATGAAAATTTTAAAATTCCTTGAAATTAATGACAACAACACAAATTATAAAAACCTCTGAGAAACAGCTTTGGCTGTTTCTCAGAAGAAAATTTATAGTGCTTAAGGCCTACATTTAAAAGACCAAAAAATTCCATATTGACAACCTAACATCACACTTTGAGGAACTAGAAAAACATGAACAAACCAAACCTAAAGCCAGCAGAATAAAAAAAATTATGAAAATCGAGCAGAACTAAATGAAATTTAAATTGAAAAAATACAAAAGATTACAGGAAAAGAGAGTAGCAAAGTAGCAAAAACAGTATTAACAAAGACTATCCAGCCTGAAATGTGGATTATGTGTTCAAGTAATAGATCATAAGCTTCATGTGAGAAAACAGGGGGGGAAAAGACTGGAAATGGTAGACAGATAAATAGGAACTGGACCTTATTCATTATGCTGAAAACAGTAAACAATTACGATTCCTTTTGAAAGAAGTGAATTATGCAAAATACTATTTAAGAATGCCGTATCTGACAATAGCATGCATGATATAATGGAGGAGAAGAACATGAATGTTTGGAATCCACTTCAAATGTTACTATAATTGTGTTTGGGGAAAAAAAGAAGCTATTGAAATATTATATAAAAGAAGATGGGACATATTTTGACAATCTCTTCATTAAATTTAGCAGGCCAAAATATTCAGCAAAATTTTCTAGAAACTGTACTTAAGTAGCTCTAGCTAGCATAAAGAATTCCACAGGAACCAAAACAAATTACATCTTTTTTTCAGCTCAGATACTTAGAAGAAAAATTTATTAATGACGAGGTATGGAGGGTGATATAGTTGACCTATTTGTTCCCTTCAAATCTCATGTCGAAATGTGACCCCCAGTGTTGGAGACAGGGATACTGGGAGTGATTGGATCATGGAGGTGGATCCCTCATGAATGGTTTGGTACCATACTCAAGGTAATGAGCAAGTTCTCACTCTACTAGTTCACACAAGAACTGACTGTTTTAAAAGTGCCTTGCATCTCCCTCTCTCTCTTGCTCCTGGCTCTCGCCACGTGAAACGTCAGTTCCCCCTACATTCCACCATGAGTAAAAAGGTTCCTAAGGCCTCAACAGAAGCCAAGCAGACAACAGCACTATGCAGAACTGTGAGCCAAATAAACCTTTTCTCTTTATAAATTACTCAGCCTCAGATATAAATTGCTCAGCCTGTTTATAGCAACATAAAATACAGGGGGCTTTCTTCTGTTGAGTGTAAAGCAGTAGCAACAGAATCAGTGAATGGATATGTGTGTCATTAAAAAAAATTCAATCAGCTCAATAAATATGTATTTTAATATTAATAATATCCTTTTAGAGTAAAAAAGATTCATAAGAAAATATGTGTCCCAATTAAAAAGGCCCTGTTCTCTATCCTTACCCTATTATCCTTTATGCCCTCCCCCATATTCCAACTTCTTTTTTTTAAGTTTTAAAACACAGTTTATTAGAGAAAGAAGAGAGAAAAGAAAGGTAAGCACGTCAGAGCTGGCACGGGCAAAAGAAAATCCCATTTCAACTTCTTAATGCCTAACAGGGAATAGAGGAAACCTAACTAATGGCAGATATTCAATGGATTCTTGCATATA